GGAAAAATCCTACCTATATACCAAAAGTTTTAATTGCAGTTGTTGGGTGTTTTGTTGTTGTTGTTTTTTTGTTTTGTTTTTTTTCATTTTAATATTTTTTTTCAAATTTTTATTTTTTTAATCATCATTATATTTCTTTATTTTTTTATTTTTTATTATTTTTTTTTATTTTTATTTTTAATATTACATCATCTAATGAAAAAAATCAGAAGCAAAGCTATAGAGTTTTGGGTTTTGTATTTAAATGTAATCTGTATAAATCTTATTTTGAACACCGCTGATAGACGGATTCAATTCATCTATACAGTTTGTTTTTAAAACATTCTCCAAAACATCTGCTTGGTTTCAAAGTTTCCTTCACTAAATGTCACCCCCACTCCCACAACAACAAGCAATTAAAAACTTAAGGAAAACAAGGTGATTTTTGCTAAAAGTAGCTTTACTTAATTATTTTTGAATGGGTTGTCCTCAAATTTGAACTCAACAATATATTAGGATAGAACTTTAAGTTGACTAGACAGTAATTGACCTTCACTCATAAATGACTTTAACCTTGCTGGAGCTAAGAGATTCATAGACCCTAGTAATTCAAGTCACATCTAATGATCACTCAGGATTAAACTGTAGCTGCAATTCTGATGCCTAAAACATTAAAGGCAACCTCCCAGCCACAAGGGGCATTTCCTTGAATAATGCTTCTTGAATTTTAAAAAAAAAATCATATTTTTCAAGGTTAAATCAAATGTGTAACTGAGCAGCAAAATCATTTGTTGGCAAAAAGCATGTACATATGGTATGGAAATAGATATCATTTTAAGTGTGTTGTTATTAAATAATGCACAGCTTGTCAGTTAAAATGTGAATGAATGTTATAATTAGAAGGCCTGTGAAGAAATAACAATGCATTTTGGCACTAAACAATACCTATATTTGAGAAAAATTTATATGTCTAATTCCATTCTAACAATCTTTTATAGAAAGAAAATTGAAAAATTAATGTTGGAAGTTAAATTCCTAATGTCATTTAACAGTTTGGGGCACATAAGCATTCCTTTTTTAAGCAGTGCATAAATCATGTAATAATGCACTTCACTACCCTATCTGTTAAGTAGGAGAATAATTTGAAGTATGTTTAGAACAATGCTTATTGCTGAATATTAAGGCTGTTGAAACTAGAACTATCGCTCAATGCAATTCATACCCCCACCAATGTCCTTGACAGAAGACCACTTGGAAAGGTGGTTAAGGGAATAACTTATGTGGCACAAATACATAAAAAGAAATTATATCTGGTGAAAAAAGACTTATTGTACAGGTAATAGTATAAATATATATTATCAAATCATGGTCGAAACAGTTACAAATAACCTTTCATTTTCCCAATGTATTAAACATTTTATTTTTAAGTCAATTTTTGACCTTCAAGTGTGACCTTGACCTTAATCTGTCACAAGGGTAAGATGGGTTTTGCACATCACCCAGTTTGGTTGAACATTTGAGTAAAGTTTGAAGAAAATCCTTCCATTAGTATAGAATTAATAGAGTAGACACAACATATTGTCTAGTATTGGTTGTACGTAAATTTGAAGACTTAAAAAGGGGCATAACTTTGTCAAAATTCAATACAGAGTAATGAAACTTGACCTGCATATCTTATTTGCCACACCTCATATATCTTTCAAGTTTCAAGCACATGCCTGCACTAGTTTCAGAATTATTCAAGTACATGTTAAAATTTCAGAACATTTTCTAAGTCAATTTTTGACTTTCAAGACTTAGTGTGAACTTGACCTTTAGCCGGCACAAAGGTGACATGGATTCTGCACATAACCTTGTTGAGGTGAAAATTTGAGTAAAGATTGAAGAAAATTCTTCCATTAGTATAGGATTTATAGAGCGGACACAACATATTGTCTAATATTTGATTTATGTAAATTTGAAGACTTAAAAAGGGGCATAACTTTGTTAAAATGCAATACAGAGTTATGAAACTTGAACGAACAGCATATCGGAATTGTGACCCTTCAAAAATATTTTACGTTTCAAGGAAATACCTTTTCTAAATTTAGAAATATTCAAATAAATGTTAAAATTTAAGACCTTCGAGTGTGACCTTGACCTTAAGCCAGCAAAAGAGTGACATAAGTTCTGCACATCCCCTTGTTGAGATTAAAATTTGAGCCAAGATTGAAGAAAATCTTTCAATAAGTGTAGGACTTACAGAGCGGACATGACATACTGTGTAATATTAGATTGTTTGATATTAGACCTTCAATTGTGACCTTGACCTTGAGCTGACACATGGGCAACATGGGTTCTGCACATCCCCTTGTTGTGGTGAATATTTGAGCCAAGTTTGAAGAAAATCTTTCAATTAGTGTAGGACTTACAGAGCGGACACAACATACTAAGTAATATTTGATAGTGTTTGATATTTGACCTTCAATTGTGACCTTGACCTTGAGCTGACACATGGGCAATATGGGTTCTGCACATCCCCTTGTTGAGGTGAACATTTGAGCCAAGTTTGAAGAAAATCCTTCAATTGGTATAGGAGTTATAGAGCGGACATGAAAATGGAGACGGACCGACCGACCAATGCAACAAAGCAAATCCATTATAGCCCCCCCAAATTTTGTGGTGGGGGTATAATAAGCACATATAAAGTGTTGTACAGGGTGAGTCACTGTGACCTTGACATAATGAACAGCATCCCAGAACAACCATTTTTCAATCACAACCTAAATTTGATTGTATTTATAATTCTGCAGTACTGATGTCATGTCAGACTAAATTGTTTAAAGTCACAGGTGGTATTGACTTCAACTTCTGCAGAAATGCCATACTAGATAAATTTGTTGTATATTATTAGAAAAGCAATAAAAACTGTTTGTTTTATGTGTCATTATGCAAAAATGTCCTAATTTAACTTATTATAGCTCTGACAGCTACTTTGTGCAGTGATGCAGAACAGGCCAGTGACATCTACAACTAGAAATCCACCATACAGATTGGCCTTCATTTTTATTTATTTGTCAATAAAGTTTGTGTTTTACACACATTCCTAAACATCTGCTGGACTTCAACGTTTCCTTTATTAAATGCCACCACCCCCCATTTTTTTTATTTTTTATTATTTTTTGATATATTTTCCTTTTTTATTTCTCATTATTTCAATTGAGTTTTATTTTTTATCTTTTTTTTTTTAAATTTTAATTTGTTTAATCATCTAATGAAAGAGAAAGTTGGAAGTAAGCTAGAGGTCAGGCCTGATAGACACATTTAATTTATCTATAAAGTTTGTGTTTTAAACAATCACTAGGGATCACCTACTGGTCATGACTAACCAACATGCCAAGTTTGAAGTTCCTAGGCCTAAGCGTTCTTAAGTTATTGATCGGAAACCATTTTTACTTACAAGTTCAATGTGACCTTGATCTTCGACCCCTTGACCTGTAAATCAAGAGGGGTCATCTACTGGTCATGATCAATCACCATACCAAGTTTAAAGTTCCTACCCTAAGAATTCTTTAGTTATTGATCGGAAACTGTTTTTACCTACAAGGTCAATGTGACCTTTACCTTTGACCCCAAAATCAATAGGGGTCATCTACTGGTCATGGCCAATCACCATACCAAGTTTGAATTTCCTAGGCATAAGCCTTCTTTAGTTATTGTTTGGAAACAGTTTTTACCTACAAGGTCAATGTGACCTTGACCTTTGACCCCTTGACCCCAAATCAAAAGAGGTCATCTACTGATCATGACCAATCACCATACCAAGTTTGAAGTTCCTAGGCCTAAGGGTTCTTTAGTTATTGATCGGAAACCCTATTTACCTACAATGTCAATGTGACCTTGACCTTTCACCCCTTGACCCCAAATTCATAAGGGGTCATCTACTGGTCATGAACAGTCACCATACCAAGTTTGAAATTCCTAGGCCTTAGGGGTTTTTTAGTTAGCACTCGGAAACCATGTGGTCTACAGACCGACGGACCAACAGACCGACAAATGCAAAGCAATATACCCCCTCTTCTTTGAAGTGGGGGCACAATAAGCATTTTGATTGGGCCATCCTTAAAAAATTGTTTGTTTGCAGTAACACGACCAACTCACGAAATTTGCCTGACTCAAATCTTTTTTTTTTGTCGCCATAATTAAGCCTTGTGCTTTCTTTTTGTTCTTTTGAAGACAGGGCTCTCACTGGCAGGAGCCAATGAGGACATTGGCTGCAAAATTATAAAATTGGCTCAGGAAAATCACAATTTAGCTCAAACTAACAAAAAGAATGACTTTTGGAATCTTCAGTCTAAATTTAGCATTTGCTACTTTAAGAATGGAAAAGTACACATTTGGTTTTCCATCTTTAACTTCTGTTTTACCACTATTATCTCAAAACACAACGATTTCGGATATAAACAGTAACACAGTCTATAATACACTGACCTCCCTGTATGTTTACATTTTTATCAGCTCATTCTTTTTTATTTCTAATTTTTTATAATTTTTTTTTTGGTATATTTTTCTTTCTTATTTCTCATTATTATTTCAATTAATTTTTCTTTTTTATCATTTTTTTTTTTTTATTTTTAATTTTTTTAATCATCTTATGAGAGAGAAAGTCAGAAGCAAGCTAGAGTTCAGGTATGATAAATTTAGACACATTCAATTTGTCTTTAAAGTTTGTGTTTTAAACACATTCCTAAACATCTGCGTGACTTCAAAGTTTCCTTCATTAAATGCCACCACCCCCCCCCATTCTTTTTGATTTTTATTTTTTATCATTTTTTTCTTAAATATTTTAATTTTTTACTCATCTAATGAAAGAGAAAGTTGGAAGTAAGCAAGATTCAGGCCTGATAGACACATTCAATTTGTCTATAAAGTTTGTGTTTTAAACACATTCCTAAACATCTGCTTGACTTCAAAGTTTCCTTTCATTAAATGCCACCACCCCCCATTCCTTTTTATTTTTATTTTTTATCATTTTTTTGTAATTTTTATTTTTTAATCATCTAATGAACGAGAAAGTCGGAAGCAAGCTAGAGTTCAGGTATGATCAATTTAAACACATTCAATTTGTCTTTAAAGTTTGTGTTTTAAACACATTCCTAAACATCTGCTTGACTTCAAAGTTTCCTTCATTAAATGCCACCACCCCCCATTCTTTTTTATTTTTATTTTTTATCTTTTTTTTTTAATCATCTAATGAAAGAGAAAGTTGGAAGTAAGCAAGAGTTCAGGCCTGATAGACACATTCAATTTGTCTATAAAGTTTGTGTTTTAAACACATTCCTTAACATCTGCTTGACTTCAAGTTTCCTTTCATTAAATGCCACCACCCCCCATTCTTTTTTATTTTTATTTTTTATCATTTTTTTTTTTAATTTTTATTTTTTAATCATCTAATGAACGAGAAATGTGGAAGCAAGCTAGAGTTCAGGTATGATCAATTTAAACACATTCAATTTGTCTATAAAGTTTGTGTTTTAAACACATTCCTTAACATCTGCTTGACTTCAAGTTTCCTTTCATTAAATGCCACCACCCCCATTCTTTTTTTATTTTTATCTTTAATATTTTTTTTCTTTAGATATTTTTCTTTTTTATTTCTAATTATTATTTCAATTAATTTTTTCTTCTTTTTTTTTATTTATTTCTTTAAATTTTCAAAATACAAAACAGATTATGTTTTCCAATTGATAACTTTAGTAGTTTAGTTAAGTTTACAAATTATTTCTATTGTTGTTAAACATAAACAGTATTTTTTTAACAGAATTATTCAAAGGAATTAAAGGAATAATAGAGTGAAGGAACATTGTGGTCTGATTGCCAAATAAATCTGACCTAATTATGGCACCAAAAACATAAAATTGACAAGGAATTTATTTGGCATTAGTCTAATTAGAAGCTTTACAGATAATTCCTGTGCAGTCTGATTAGGATCCATGCTGTTCGCTTACAGACCCTATAACAAGTAGAGAAACAGCATCAATTAGAATCTTGCTTATTTCAGAACATTTAGAATGTACAATAAAAATAGGTACCCTTTAGAAAGAATTTAGTGTCTGGATAGATAATCACATACCCTTGTGACACAAAGGTACAAATTAAAGTCGAATAATCATTAACATATTCATGAATATAGAGATTTTTCCTTGAATTGATTGATTTATTTTTTCATTATTATCGTAATAAACTCTATTTTCCATATAATATATATATAAATAATGCATAGTGTTTTGCAATTTCATATAAATCTATTTACAAAATGAGTTGTATACAAAATATAAATGTATTAACAAGTTAGTAACAACTTATACAGTTTCATTGCACATTTAAAATTTATTAACAAATATTTTTTTAAACATTAAAAAAAAATGTCAATATTACCTGGGACAAAGGTAATAAGGTTATTCATTGTTCCAGAAATTACAAAAAAATATATATAATTATATATAAAAAGTTTGCCAAAACAGGAATGTAAGGGCAACAGTTTGTAACAGTATCAAGTAAAGGTAGTCATTTTGTTTCATCATAATTATATATTTACAATTCGGGGATGACAGTCTCTGAGAAAAAAAGAAGAAAATTATGTCTGTTATAAAATGTAAAGAAATATGAACAGGCATTCTATTAACATCCCTTGTTTGCATCTAAATTGACAATATGATGTAATCCCCTTTAGCAAGTCTAATCTCCATTCTAACTAACACTCTAACAGATAATTAAATTTAATTAAACTTATTACTGATAACTGATCTGTTTTGATACCATGAAAAAATTTGGCAAATTTCCAAGACATTTCATAAAATACAATAAATGACTTTTACAAAAAGTACATAATGTAAATAAGACATAAACATTTTATCGTTTTCCATGCCAGTTACAAAAGTGGAATGCAGTTTATAAGTATTATTGGTCCTTAGTTTTTGTATTATAACAAAATGTTACTGTTAATGTGATATACTTGATATGATATGGGTACATGTATAATGTAATGATATGAATCATCTAAAATGTAGAACAGTCTACTTCTCTGATATGTTGGTTAATAATTGACTGCTTGTTTCAACATTTACAAACTTTCTTAGAACAATTCACACACAGATGTTTCAAACTACCATTTACATTAGTTCATTCTAATTTTCAAAATTCAAAGAAACACTAATAAAGAACAAGATCTATTAATTTTCAATGGATGCATAAAAACTCAAGGCACAGTTAATACAGACACCTATGCAATATGTTCTTGAATGAAAATACATAAATACTGTCTGATCTGGCAATATACCAAAAACATATATGGGTTTAGACCTATCATAGCTTGATGAATTTAATGGTAAGAGGTTAAGCAGTCAAACTATAATAAGTACTTTTCCCATGATACATTCAATGATAATGTTTGGCCATTCAGTCAATACTATCATATTTCAACCAGGAACAGAGATGTCGGAAAAGATAATAACAAAATGTTACTGTTAATGTGATATACTTGATATGATATGGGTACATGTATAATGTAATGATATGAATCAACTAAAATGTAGAACAGTCTACTTCTCTGATATGTTGGTTAATAATTGACTGCTTGTTTCAACATTTACAAACTTTCTTAGAACAATTCACACACAGATGTTTCAAACTACCATTTACATTAGTTCATTCTAATTTTCAAAATTCAAAGAAACACCAATAAAGAACAAGATCTATTAATTTTCAATGGATGCATAAAAACTCAAGGCACAGTTAATACAGACACCTATGCAATATGTTCTTGAATGAAAATACATAAATACTGTCTGATCTGGCAATATACCAAAAACATATATGGGTTTAGACCTATCATAGCTTGATGAATTTAATGGTAAGAGGTTAAGCAGTCAAACTATAATAAGTACTTTTCCCATGATACATTCAATGATAATGTTTGGCCATTCAGTCAATACTATCATATTTCAACCAGGAACAGAGATGTCGGAAAAGATAATGGAAGGTCAGCCCTAATGTCTTTTTCCACTGCAATATATAATGATAAATTTACTAACAAAAAAATTCTAATAAGTGGTTGCAGAAAAAACTGTACAATTACAATGTGTTTGAGAAGGAAAAATGTATCATTAATCAATAAGTAACATTACAAATTTATTTCAGATGAAATTAAGATATAACCACGACGAAAGGAAGTTTGAAACAAATGTGTTTACATACAGCAGACTCTGGAATACTGAGTGTAACAAATGTGTTTGCAAATTGAATATTTTCAAAGAAGACAAATTAACTATAAGAAAATGCAGAAAAATCAATTTTACAGCAAACCAAAGAAAAAATGAACAGAAAAAAAACTTTACCAAACAAAAATTCTAGAGAAAATGTCTTTACTAAAGAAAAATATGAATGGAAAATTGTGTTTACTGAAGAAAAAAACTACAAAAAAATGTGTTCACCAAATGAATTATCTTAAAAATGTGTTAACCAAAGAAAAATGTACAGGAAAATGACTGTTTTGTAAAAGAAAAAATCTACAAAAAAAATGTGTTAACCAAAGAAAAAATCTACAGAAACTTGTGATTACTGAAAAAAAAATACAAAAAATGTGTTTACCAAAGAAAAAATCTACAGAAAACTGTGTTTACCAAATGAAAAAAAATCTATGTAAGTAAAAATGTACAGGAAAATGAGTTTAATGAGAATAAAGTTTTGTTTACTTGAGAAAAAAATCCACTATGTGTTTACAAGAGAAAAAAATCTACAGAAAATTATGTTTACCAAAAAAAAAAAAAATGTGTACCAAACAAAACTATTAAAAAATATATTTACCAAAGAAAAAAAACCAGAAAAATAAAATGTGTTTACCAACGAAAAAAATCTACAGAAAAATGTGTTTACCGAAGAAAAAATCCACATAAAATGTGTTTACCAAAGATTTAAAAATCAACAACACTCATTGCTTATTAAGAAATTTTTCAACAGACACCAGAATTGCTATAACAAAATTATTAATGTTTTCCAAGGAAAAGTTCTATAGCAGACACAGACATTGCTATTGGGGTTATCAAGTTATTGGTTGGAAACCCTTATGATATTAAATGTGGCCATGACCTTTGAGTCAGCAACCCTTAAGTCAAAAAGGATCATCTACTGCCAAAGACAATTGCAATTATTAAGTTTTAGCCTGAAACCCAAAAATCAGAAGGAGACATGTTCAGCGAAAAAAAACCCAAACCAATGCTCCTATGAAATTTGAAGGCCTAGCTCTCATGGGTTGTTGAATTATTGACTGGAAACCATATTGACCAACAAGGACAAATATGTAACATAGACCCTGTTCCACCAAAATCAAGTGGTTTTCTATCAAAGACCAATGCTTCTATCAAATTTTAAAGTCAAGGGCCTATAGATTGTTATTAGTAGGAAAACATTTTGACATTAAAGGCCAATGTATTCCTCGGACCTACCTTAAGTCAAAAAGGGTTAATGCAGCAAAAACAAATGTACTTATAAAATTTGAGGGTCTTATGCCTATGGGTTGTTGAGTTATTTGTAAGACCTTGACCAAAAATCAAGAGGGGTCGTGTGCGGCACAAGACCAATGCTGTTAGGGAGACCCATTGGTTTTCAAATTCCTTCCTTTACTACCATCTACACATTAAGGTTGTTCATCCCTGTAAGTTTAAGCAAAATCTGCCATCCGGTTTAAGAGGAGTTGCATCCACAAAATTTCTAAATAGTATATAATGAAAAAAACAACAAAGGGCCATAATTCTGTTTAATTTGGTTGCAGCAAAAATTCCTTCCTTTACTGCCATCTATACATTAAGGTTGTTCATCCCTGGAAGTTTAAGCCGAACTAACCATCCGGTTTAAGAGGATTTGCATTCACAAAATTTCTACATAGTATATAGTGAAAAAATCAACAAAGGGCCATAATTCCTTAAAATTTGGTCGCAGTGAAAATTCCTTCCTTTACTACCATCTACATCTTAAGGTTGTTCATCCCTGTAAGTTTAAGCAAAATCTGCCATCCTGTTTTAGAGGAGTTGCGTTCACAAAATTTCTACATAGTATATAGTGAAAAAAACAACAAAGGGCCATAATTCTGTTAAATTTGGTCGAAGCAAAAATTCCTTCCTTTACTACCATCTACACATTAAGGTTGTTCATCCCTGTAAGTTAAAGCAAAATCTGCCATCTTGTTTAAGAGGAGTTGCATTCACACAATTTCTACATGTATATAGTGAAAAAATCAACAAAGGGCCATAATTCTGTTAAATTTGGTCGCAGCAAAAATTCCTTCCTTTACTACCATCTACACATTAAGGTTGTTCATCCCTGTAAGTTTAAGCAAAATCTGTCATACGGTTTAACAGACGGACAAGTGCAACGCTATATGCTCCCACATTGTGGGGGCATAATAAAATTGACCTTAATAACCAAATTTTAATTTTGTTTAAAGCTCTCACAGAAGCAAATGTCATATGACTGTGAAATATTAAAGAACAAATTATCCAAGAGCAATAAAAAAAATGCCTTTAGGTAACTTATACAGATTACTGTACAGTAAAATGAATTGATTGTGATTTTATCCTGAATTATTTTAGTTTAGAATTCTTCAATATTCTTCTTCATTCTTCATACTTTCAAACATGTTTGTGTTTTATAATTTCAGATGCAGATAGTCTTCAAGCCAAATCTTTGGCATTAACCAAGCAAGCTGAAGCAGCACCATGGAGTGTGTTTCAGCTGTACCTGTCATGCCACTGACTTAGATTTTTCAGGAACCTTGCTGTCCAACTTTACCTGGCAAATGTTATAGTTACTGAGCTGAAAGCCTTTTTATAATTACTGACTATAAATTATATGAGTTAAATGTGTGAATGTGATAGAAATGTAACTACAAAAATAAAGTTGGATGTAGTTTGTTTTACTGAATAGCTTATGCCATACCAAAGTCTTATTTGAAAGTCCTTTTTGCTTTTAGATCCGACATAGCGTCACCCATCTAAAGTAAAGGTTCATGTAGAAGAAATTAAATGTAGTTCTTATTAAATTAGCGTTCAGATATCAATTTATAAATTGTTACCAGATTATCAAGGCACATATAATATTGTCAAGTATTTTGAAATTCCATGTCTAGTTGTGAGTACAGTTCAATAAAAAAAAATCGACCTACCTACCCACCTTCAAAATTCTGGGTTGGGTTACTATGGAGCAGAATTTGGGTATTTATTCATTTGACTACTTGTTGTTTTCATTTGCTTAAGTTTAAATCATATTCCTACAAATTTGATTCATCTGTGAGTAAATCAAAGTTCTTTACTTAAATATTTATTCATTCTTTCTTACTAGTTTATAGTAAGTTGTAATAGTCTAAAGCCAATGCCAGTACTTCATCTTAATTCGTTTAATTTAATATTAGATACCAATAAATAACCTTTTGTTTCAAACATGTGCTATCTCTACTTAGTTAAAAGAAAGTATGTTTTCTCGAACTTGTTTCTTACAAATGTATTTGTGCAACTCATACTCTCATTCGTTTCACACTGAAAATAAATTTTTATGTAAGAGGCTATAAGAATTGGATTGGATTTTGTGGATTTTTTCTTAAGAGAATATTTCAACGGTTACACCGTAAGAAATTACAAACTTGCACGGCAATATTGGTTCCCAGCCAGATGTACAAATTCAAATTTCAAATGTAATTTCGTATTTGTGTTCTTGCAGTATGCGTCTAGGTGCATTCATACAGATTTTATTTCAGTGTTATGTAACCCACTTTGTATTCTTAAAAGAAAGGACATACAAGATCATAATTTAAAACTAAATTATTCAAATTGAAAAGGAAGATAAGGATTTCATGAATATGAACATAAATTAGATAAATATCAATTGAAAGATAAACAGGGATTTAATTCCCAAATTCTGCTCCATAGGTTACTGCAAACAAACACTTTTTTAAGGATAGCCTTGGTTTTAATCACCTAATGAAATCATGAGCTGTCCTGACACACTCTATTCAACTTAATATCGGCAAAAAATCACACAGCTGATAAATGTTAATTGTTTGGCCGTGGGGTATCTGACAATGTACATACCTGTTCTCCATAAGGAACTGTCAATGCATGAACCACTCCAACCACTGGTGGAGAAGAAATGACCATTGGCATACCATACCGTCTTTAATCATAAACATGTCATAAAGAACCTGCAGCCCAAAATCCATACCCACCCAAACCCAAACCCTAAACCTAAAAATCCCTGTTGAGCTTACAAAACAAAACACATTCCTGTCATAAAAGAATATCAATATAGAATTTACAATAAAAATAAGTATTTAAGAATAAACAGTATAAAATTCTTGCATAAAAGCTGACCACTGATATTTACATTTACAATGAAAAGTAGACATATCACTGGAGGTGATTATTACCCCCACAAGCAACTTTGACTTTTTGAAAAATAAGTAGTCTGAAGAAAAATTTGAACACAAACTAGAACACAAACTATCAATTGTGTACAAAGAAATAATTCAATTAATTGTAATCCCAACTGGAGTCTCAAAATAAGCTTGCTTTTCACAAAGTTTCATTACAATATCTCATTCCTAACTCTAGTTATTGTCCGAAAACCATTTTTCTATTTTTAGTAACACTGTAACAGTGACCTTGACCCTACGGCCTCCAAATGCAATACAAACCAAGGTCTCCATATAAGCTTCCTATTCAACACGTTTGATTACAATATCTCATTCCTAAGTCGAGTAACTGTCCGAAAACCATTTTTCAATTTTAGTAACAGTGACCTTGACCTAAGTGGGCCCAAATGCAATACCAACCCAGGTTGCTATACCAAAAGTTTGATTACAATATCTCATTCCTAACTCTAGTTATTTTCCCGTAACCATTTTTCTATTTAAAGTAACAGTGACCTTGACCTTGACCCCAGGGGGTCCAAGTGCAATACCAACCAAGGTCTTTATATAAGCTTCTTATACACCAAGTTTGATAACAATATCAAACTCCTTACTGTAGTTATTGTCTGGAAACCATTTTTTCCATTTTTAGTTACGGTGACCTTGACCCCAGTGGGTCCAAATGCATTACCAACACAGGTCTTCGCATAGGCTTGCTATACACCAAGTTCAATAACAATATCTCACTCCTAACTCTAGTTATTGTCCGGAAATTATTTTTCTATTTTTTATAACAGTGACCTTGACCTTAACCCCAGGGGGTCCAAGTATGATACTAACCCAGGTCTTCATATAAGCTTTCTATACACCAAGTTTCATAACAATATCTCATTTATAACTCTAGTTATTGTTCGGAAACCATTTTTCTATTTTAAGTAATGGTGACTTTGACCTTGACCCCAGGGGGTCCAAATGCAATACCAACCCGGGTCTTCATATAAGGTTGCTATACACCAAGTTTGATAACAATATCTCATTCCTAACTGTAATTATTGTCCGGAAACCATTTTTCTATTTTTAGTAACAGTGACCTTGACCTTGACCCAAGGGGGTCCAAATGCAATACCTACCGAAGTTTCCACATAAGGTTGCTATACACCAAGTTTGATTACAATACCACATTCCAAACTCTAGTTATCATCTGGAAACCATGATGTGGACCGCCTGACGGACTGTCCAACTGACTGACCAACAAGCTGACCCCTAAACTTCGTTTGTTGGGGTATAAAAACATGCATTAACAGATAAAATCATGTGGTTTGGTAATTTCATAAGTTAATCAACATAAGACTCACCCATTTAAAACATTACAAAATAAGCGAAACAAGCAATAATCAAAGTATTGCAAGCAATCCATAAGTCCCCTACCGGTTAGAACACCAACAACATTCTGATGGGCCATTAGCCATTCAATCATACCATTGAATCTGACGTTACTAAGTCAGTGCATTGCTAAGAAATGTATTCTCCATGCTTCAAATGTGAAAATCAAGATTTTTTAGTCAAGGCCCCTGTGACCTTGACCTTTGACCTCAAAATCAATAGGGGTTGTTTAATAATCATGACTAACCTCAAAGCCAAACATGAAGACTGGGTCAAAGGAATATCAAGTTAATGGGCAGACAAGATTTTTTTTAAGTCAAGGCCCCTGTGAGCTTGAACTTTGAAACAGTGACCTCAAAATCCAAAGGGGTCATCTAATAATCATGACTAACCTTCATGCAAAATATGAAGACTGTGGGTCAAAGGAATCTCAAGTTATTGGGCAGGCAAGTTTTCTTTTTAGTCAAGGCCCCTGTGACCTTGACCTTTGACCCAGTGACCTCAAAATCAATAGGAGTCATCTACTAATCATGACTAACTTCCATGCCAAATATGAAGACGGTGGGTCAAAGGAATCTCAAGTAATTGGGTGGACAAGCTTATAAAAGTTAAGGACCGTGACCTTGACCTTTGACCTTAAAATATACTGGATCCAGAATATGTGTTAAATTTGCCATATTTATCTATTTATTGCCATAGCAACCAAATTTTTCAACATAGGAAGAAAAGACTAGAAATGTGTCATCATGCCACGGATGCCCCGGCATGCAGCCAAAATTTCAAATGTTATAATATTTAGTTCCAAATTTGTTTGCACAAATTATTGTTTTCAATTTAAGTTCAAAGCCCTTAAAACTTTTCAATGTTAACACAAACCATTTTCATAAAATGTTCAAGGCACTGAAATTATTCAGTCTTAACATTTTGAAAATAGCATATTTCATATTTGTAGCCAAAATAATGGCTACATACATTTCGACAAAAGTATGAGTGCTGAAACTGAAAGTTTAAAATTTTTCCAATATTCAAGAAAGATAAGTTTGTCCAAAATCATTGAACCACGACCAAATTCAAACTTAAACTGCTTATTCCTAAGATGTATCTATATTATTTCAGAGTGAAAGGGACATAACTCTGCCAAAAAATCATCGAACCATGACCAAATTCCAACTTGACCTGCCCATTCCTTTGACATATCCATATGTCAAATTTGAGTTGAATATGTAACACTGTTGGGTAGATAATGAACAGAAACTGTGAATTTCATATTATTTTCAAAGTAAAAGGGACATAACTCTGCCAAAAATCGTCGAACCATGAACAAATTCGAACTTGACCTGTATTTTCTCATGAAATATCCATATGTCAAATTTGAGTTGAATGTGTTGTACCTTTTGGGAGATAATGAACGGAAACTGAAAATTTCATATTATTTTCAAAGTAAAAGGGGCATAACTCTGCCAAAAATCGTAGAACCATGACCAAATTCGAACTTGACCTGTATTTTCTCATGACATATCCATGTGTCAAATTTGAGTTGAATGTGTTGTACCGTTGGGGAGATAATGAACAGAAACTGAAAATTTCATATTATTTTCAAAGTTAAAGGGGCATAACTCTGCCAAAAATCATCGAACCATGACCAAATTTGAACTTGACCTGTATTTTCTAATGACATATCCATATGTCAAATTTGAGTTGATAATGTACAACTGTTACTTAGATAATGAACGGAAACTGATGATGACGGAATGACAGAATGACGGAAGGACGGAATGACGGAAGGACGGAACAGGGTAACACTATATGCCCCGGCCATTACATGGCGGGGGCATAAAAAAGACATGCATAATCTCATACTGCCATTTATACATATGTCAAGTTTCATAAAAATATTTTCAGTACTTTTTGCGTTATCGCTGGATCCAGTTTGGTGGACGGACTGACAGATAGACAGACAGATGGATGGAGGGTAGAGCTAAAGTCCCCTCCGGTTAAACCAGTAGGGGACACACAAGAGCATTATATGCCAGAAAGTACTTTTTCTTTTAGTAAGGATGAAGCATTTGTAAGACATGGTAGTTAAATACAGTACTACCTCCTTCAAAAAGCAATCCTCCTTCATAGCTGAAGAACATTCATGTATAATATACAGTTGCTGTTTTTAAAGCACCACCAACAAGTTGTTATCTTGTAAGTAAAAAAAGCTACAACTGATGGACAAAAAGACGTCAGGGGTATAAAGCTATTAGTCCTATAAAATTTTACACCTGTAGCTTAATTAATGCTTGAGTTATTGAACGAAAACTGTTTCCAGTTTAAAGGTAATAGTTAGCTTGATCGATCTTTGACCATGTGACCTCAAAATCAATAGAATTCTTCTACCCAATATGGACAATCATTCTATGAAGTTTGAATACTGTGGGCCAAATGGAACTTAAGTTATGCTCCGGAAACCATTTTCAGTATTACGCTAATAGTGACCTTGACCTTTGACCTTGTGACCCAAAAATCAGTAGGGGTCTTCTACCCAATATGGGTTATCATCCTATGAGGTTTGAATACTGTGGGCAAAATGGTCTTTAATTTATGCTGCAGGAAACCATTTTCAGTTTTAGGGTAGTAGTGACCTTGACCTTTGACAATGTGACCCAAAAATCAATAGAGGTCTCCTATCCAATATGGACAATCATCCTATGAAGTTTGAAAACTTTGGGCCATATAGAACTTAAGTTATGCTCCGGAAACCATTTTCAGTTTTATGGTAAAAGTGACCTTGACCTTTGACCTTGTGACCCCAAAATCAACAGGGGTCTTCTTCCCAATATGGGCAATCATCCTATGAAGTTTGAATACTGTGGGCTAAATGGAACTTAAGTTATGCTCCGAAAACCAAATTGATAACAGACAGATGGTCATTCCTACGAATTGTCATTTATTGGGTATTTCTTTTGTTTAAAAGTAGCCAATAAGAGAACAAAAGTACCCAACAATACTGATAGAACTAGAACTGCCACTATCATGGCGTGAATACCCCCGCATACCACTTTGTCAGAATCAACAGTGGCCATTTAGAGCTCAAGGAAAACCTCCCTGGCAAATCTGAGGTAACTAAGCCAGTGCATTGCTAAGTTATGTATTCTACACGTTCAAATGTAAAAATGTCAAAATCAATACATTGCGGACAGGACATTCTTAAGCAATTGAGAAGAAAAGCTTTTTTTGCCAAGTTCCCTATAACCTTGACCTTTGACCCAGTGACCTCAAAATCAAAAGGGGTCACCTTATAGTCATGATCAACATCCATGCCAAATATGAAGACTGTGGGTCAAAGGAATCATAAGTTAATGGGTGGACAAACTTTTTAAAGTCAAAGTCCCTATGACCTTGACCTTTGATCCAGTGACCTCAAACTCAAAAGGGGTCATCTACTAATCATGATCAACATCCATGCCAAATATGAAGACTGTGGGTCAAAGGAATCTAAAGTTATTGGGCAGACAAACTTTTTAAAGTCCCTGTAACCTTGACCTCTGACCCAGTGACCTCAAAATCTATAGGGGTCACCTATAGTCATGATCAACATCAATGCCAAATATGAAGACTGTGGGTCAAAGGATTCATAAGTTAATGGGTGGACAAACTTTTTAAAGTCAAAGTCCCTGTGACCTTGACCTTTGATCCAGTGACCTCAAACTCAAAAGGGGTCATCTACTAATCATGACTAACCTCAATGCCAAATATGAAGACTGTGGGTCAAAGGAATCTTAAGTTATAGGGCGGACAAGCTTTTTGAAGTCAAGGTCCCTGTGACCTTGACCTTTGACCTGGTGACCTCAAAGTCATTAGGGGTCATCTACTAATCATGACTAACCTCCATGCCAAATATGAAGACTGTGGGTCAAAGGAATCTTAAGTTATTGGGCAGACAAACTTTTTGAAGTCCCTGTAACCTTGACCTCTGACCCAGTGACCTTAAAATCAATAGGGGTCACCTATAGTCATGATCAACATCCATGCCAAATATGAAAACTATGGGTCAAAGGAATCATAAGTTAATGGGTGGACAAACTTTTTAAAGTCAAAGTCCCTATGACCTTGACCTTTGATCCAGTGACCTCAAACTCAAAAGGGGTCATCTACTAATCATGACTAACCTCCATGCCAAATATGAAGACTGTGGGTCAAAGGAATCTTAAGTTATAGGGCGGACAAGCTTTTTAAAGTCAAGGTCCCTGTGACCTTGACCTTTGACCAGGTGACCTCAAAGTCATTAGGGGTCATCTACTAATCATGACTAACCTCCATGCCAAATATGAAGACTGTGGGTCAAAGGAATCTTAAGTTACTTGGCGGACAAGCTTTTTGAAGTCAAGGCCCCTGTGACCTTGACCTTTGACCTGGTGACCTCAAAGTAAGTAGGGGTTATCTACTGATCCTGACTAACCTCCATGCCATAAATGATGACTGTAGGTCAAAGGAATCTTAAGTTATTGGCCAGACAAGCTTTTTGAAGTCAAGGCCCGTGTGACCTTGACCTTTAACCTGGTGACCTCAAAATCAATAGGGGTCATCTACTAATCTTGACTAAACTTTATGCCAAATATGAAGACTGTAGGTCAAAGGAATCTTAAGTTCTTGGGCGGACAAGCTTTTTGAAGTTAAGGCCCCTGTGACCTTGACCTTTGACCTAGTGACCTCAAAATCTAGAGGGGTCATTTACTAATCATGACTAACCTTCATGCCAAATATGAAGACTAAGGGTCAAATGAATCTTAAGTTATTGGGCCAACAAGAAAAAACCGACGGACAGCCGGACGGACGGCCGGCCGGACGGACAGCCGGACGTTCTCACAGGACAGTAATTATGTGGCTACTCTATTGTTCTCTCTATTGTTCTTTTTAGCCACGCAAAAGAAAATAGCCACATAAAAGCATTACGGAATGAATGACATCAAAGAGAACCTATTGTCCCTCTAGCCACATAATTACTCTCCTGTGAGTGCGGACGGACGGACAAGCTGATTCCAGTATACCCCCCTTACAACTTTGTTGTGTGGGGGTATAATGATAGAATTACCCAACAAGTGTCCTCTCTTTTGTCCGAGGTACCCAACAAGTGTCCTCTTGTTTGCACGGACAGACGGAAGCCAGGGGGTATAACATATGCCCGAAATTTTTTCGGCCTTTATAAAAACGTACAATTGCCCAATCAAAGGTCATCTTTTATGCAAGAATAAAGCCAATGCACTTTTCTTATGCATTAACATTTGCAGAAGCAGAAGCCCTAAGACATTTTAAATCTTATCGCTTGGGCTTTAAATGCCTCTTCATGCTCCTACAGATATTAATGCAGGATGAAAGGTGCATTAACCTTTAATAAACATTAAAGCCCAGGCCTCGACAAATCCACTTGCCTGCTCACATTTGAAAGTGCAAGTTAGAGTCAAAAGATTTTATGTAAATTAAGATTTTTGGTAAAAAAATCAAACTGCAGACACCATGTCAATAGTAATACTGTCAAATGAGAACCGGAAAATGACCTTATGACTAGGTATAAAAACTTTACCGAACGTTTATGATGAATCAATTCATTAACAACATCAGCATTCGACAATGTTTTATACTTGGCCAAGAGTCAAGTGTGCATATGTGTTTAATAAGTATTTGGTTATAAGTAGAGCTGTAACGAACGTTCATAATCTCGGTACAAAGCGAATTTGTCATCAATTTCTGACACGAATATTCGCGTGCCTTTGTATTGCTAGATTTGCATTCTTTTGTAATTGTAACTAAAGAGAAAATTCTGATATAGGTTTTGCCTTCAATCCTATATTTTAAGCTTATAAAACACACCTTTTAAAATAATCAGCATATTTTTATTGTGTATCCAAAGTGTGTTATATGTCAGAAAATAAACATCTACCGCAAAGCTAGCAACGAGAAGTTTCGCTATATTTAACTTCAACACAAGAAAATTACCAAAATACGCGAAATAATCGTAACGTTTATTAAATTTTGTACCGTTAGTTAATAAATGCAATGAATATTTAAGTCTTTGAATTGAATTTTAAAAAAGTTTTTATACAATGATAATCAGCATACTTTCATAGCGTATCCGAAACTTGTTATATATCCAAACATCTACGGTAAAACTATCAACAAGAAGTTTCGCTTTATTTAACTTATAACAAAAGAAAATTACTGGGAATATGAAAAAAATGGTTACCTTTTATTTGTACCATTAGTTAATATAAATGCAATGAATATTTAATTCTATGAATTGAATTTAAAAAATATTTATATGATGAAGATCATGATGCTAAATACGGTATGGCAAAGTGTCATTTTCGTCTGCAAAATGGACTGAAATAGTTTACCTTACAAAAATGCCCTGGCTAAATATTCGTCAAAATTTTGGAAAAACTTTAGCTTTTCTAAAAATGATGAGACTAAAGTTATCTGTAAAACATGCCTTTCTGAAGTTAAGTACAGTGGTGGTAATACAAACATGATGTTTCATATGAAAAGGCATCATGGAGTTGATGTTTCAAGTACAGGTACAGGAATTAGAATTTTAGATAACACTTGTAGCAAATGAATCTGTTTAACAAGATGTCAAAATGCAACAGATTATACATTTGATATGACTTTCTGCCGATAAAAACATTTAAAGTTCCCATTTAAAATTAGAAATTAAAGCAAACTATCGAAAGAAGTTGATTGACAAGTACTTCAGTCCAACCACTGCCAATTCCTGCCATGAATCTGTGCTGGTAGAAAGAGACTTTGTCAGGCTAAAGTAAATCAAACAAAATTTGTAACATAGTTACCAACTTCCCCCGTCTAGGGGAAGTTTTATATGAAGCATGAGGTATGGATTTCAGGACTTTCAGTCCAAAATTCTGATCAATGCTTGATCTGCAAATGCAACAATAAATTTATTAAAGAAATACTAGTAAAATGAAATATGGAATATAGAATTCTATCATGTTAACCTTTGACCTCTAAGTGTGACCTTGACCTTGGAGGTAGTGGTGCAGGTGTTGTGCATGACATATCATCTTATTAACATTACTATTTGTGCCAAGTATTTTCAAAATCCCTTTCACTATGTAGAAGTTATAGATCAGACACAAAATATACCCTTATAACAAACTATGTCAATCTTTGACCTTTAAGTGTGACCTTGGAAGTAGGGACCCATGTTTTACACCTGACATATCATCTTATCATTGTGATTATTTGTGCAAAGTATTATTAAAATCCCAGATTATGGACTTGACACAAAATATACCCTATAACAGACTATAAAAATCTTTGACCTCTATGTGTGACCTTGACCTTGGAGGTAGGGACACATGTGTTATGCATGACACATCATCTTATCATTGTGAATATTTGTGCGTAGTTATTTCAAAATCCTGAAGAAGTTCTAGATCAGACACAAAATATACCCTTAAACAGACTATGTTAACTTTTGACCTCTAAATGTGACCTTGAACTTGTTCAAGAGTTCTGCAGACCAGAGATTTACCAGAGTCTCACACAGGTGAACATGTTGCGCATGTAATACAGAAGGTTTCACTAGAATGGGGCTGTGGAATTTCATCCCTTTCTACTGATAATGCTTCTAATATGAAAGTTGCAGCAAAGGTTGCAAATATTTCAGTCCATTTAAGATGCTTTGCCCACACATTAAACCTGGCCTCCTGCAACTGCAAGGCTTTGGACATTATAGAAGTACACCAAGCATTAGCTAAGATAAGAAGCATAGTTTGTTTTCTTCACCGTAGAACAACCGCTGCTGCTTTATTCAAGAAAAAGCAAACCATGCTCTAGTTGTCTGATCGCAAATAATTGATAGATGTTCGCACCCGTTAAAGGAACTCCACTGAGGTTTATAAGCCTAAAAACATATCATTTTAATTTTCCACATAAATGAACATGAGCACTTTAACAGAAATACAAATTAAATACAACTAAGAAATATACATGAAATACATTGAAAACCGTAACTATGCTATTCTCAGTCCAATTTGATTGAAAAGCATTTAAATGCTTTTCAAATTTGGGTCATTTTTCACTATTATAATAATTATTCTGGATAAACAGAGTAAATTTATGATCTGAAATTTTGCACTTAAGTTATATGTATAGATGTACATCAAATGGAGTAATCATCTTAAAAAAATTATTTCCAGTCCCGTCATTTCAAAAAACCTCAGTGCAGTCCCTTTAAAATAGTATCTTCTTGATGGTAGATAGATTTCTTGAGCAACAAGTGGCAATACTGGCTACCTTTACAGATGAAACTATCAAAAAACAGCATGTAATTAAGTCAGTTACAGCTGTTACGCTTAATGACCATGGAGAAATTAAACTATGTGCACTAATGCAGTCTCTTTATCATGCTTAGCTATGACTGCTGATCAGAAACCAACAGTTGGTATCATCATTCCTTTCTTAAACAAACTTAAATTGTTCTATTATCAGAAAGAAGATGACGCAGCTTTTCAAAAAATAGGCAAAACAGTTTCTGACAATTTGGAGACTTGTTATAAAGATGAGATGACTCTACTTCCTTGAGGAGTCAACTTCATTTGACGCAAGATTAAAATATGTCACATCTGAAGCAACTTGGTGAAGGCTTTCGGACAAGCTTGCCTTACATGGCCCAGTAAAAGTAAAGATGGAAAAAAATCAATCTAAATGCTTATATTCAATTTGTACAAATATTTAAAAGAGTACTACTTAAATATTCACTTGTAAACAAGTTAAATATCAAAGTATCCCTTGTAAATATGTTCTGCTTTCTATTTGAACGGCTGGATTATAAAGTCTTAGTAAGATTATAGTTTGACATAAAACATTGAAACTATTTCATCATTCAGTGATGTATCGCAAACCGATTTGTGTATTGCTCCTTTGTATCGTGAATCACATCATATCGCCTCTACTCTGACAATACACGGCCCTAGTTATGTTGAAAATTAAAATTATAGATCTATCAAAAGAATTAATACGTACATGGATAAAGGTGATTATACCGATATAGACCGATAGATAGTAAATTTGAGTCTGTTTGATTTTTACAAATTTTGTCCATCAAAATGCAGGGCAAGTAAATTTGAAGGGTCACCTTGCCCAGTAGGGACAGTGACCCTAGAAAAATTCATCGAGGCCTGTAGCCAACAACATGCAGCGGCCACACTCGACTTTTTCTTAATTCTAAATTTACATCTTTGACTTTGACAGTCAACGACAAGGTCATCATGGTAATTTTTTAATTTGTTCACGTATAAAAAAAATCTGTAACTAAACTAGAACTGCCACTGCCATGGCCTGAATACCCCAGCATACCACTTTGTCAGAATCAACAGTGGTCAATTTAAGCTCAAGGACAACCTCCCTGCCAAATCTGAGGGAAGTAACCCAGTGTATTGCATAATAATGTAATAAGAAGACTGTGGGTCAAAGAAATCTTAAGATATTGGGTGAACAAGCTTTTTTCAGTCATAAGGCCCCTGTGACCTTGACCTTTGACCCAGTGACCTCAAAATCAGTAGTGGTCTTCTACTCATCATGACTCAAACCTCCATGCCAAATATGAAGACTGTGGGTAAAAGAAATCTTAAGATATTGGGCAGACAAGCTTTTTCAGCCACAAGGCCCCTGTGACCTTAACCTTTGATCCAGTGACCTCAAAATTAGTAGGGTTCATCTACTCATCATGACTAACCTCCATGCCAAATATGAAGACTGTGGGTCAAAGGAATCTTAAGATATTGGGCGGACAAGCTCTTTTTCAATCAAGGCCCCTGTGACCTTGACCTAGTGACCTCAAAATCAATAGGGGTCATTTAATAATGATGACTACTCTCCATGCCAAATATGAAGACTAAAGGTCAAAGGAATCTTAAGATATTGGGCGGACAAGCTTTTTGAAGTCAAAGCCCTTGTGACCTTGACCTTTGACCAGTGACCTCAAAATCAATAGGGTTCATCTTCCCATCATGACTAACCTCCATGCCAAATATGAAGACTGTGGGTCAAAGGAATCTTAAGATACTGGATGGACAAGATTTTTTTTTTAAGTCATGGCCCCTGTGACCTGGACCTTTGACCCAGTGACCTCAAAATCAATAGGGGTCATCTACTCATCATGACTAACCTCCATGCCAAATATGAAGACTGTGGGTCAAAGGAATCTTAAGATATTGGGGGGGACAAGCTTTTTTCAGTCAAAGCCCCTGTGACCTGGACCTTTGACCCAGTGACACTTCAAAATCAATAGGGGTTATCTACTCATCATGACAAACCTGTGGGTCATAGGAATCTCAAGTTATTGGGCGGACAAGGGAAAACCTACGGACGGCCGGAGAGATCGTCACCAGGATGGCCGGACGGACAAGCTCATTCCAGTATACCCCCCTTACAACTTTGTTGTGCAGGAGTATAATAACAAAGTAATAATAAATTCAATTTAGCAAATTTGAAAACTTTGAACTTGACAGTAATGGGCATAAAATGGGTCCAACAATGACAGCCTGACTGTAGCAAAAGCTCAAAAAATTTCTTAAAATTTTTTGAGCAAATAAGCAAATAAAATTTGTGTGAAAAACTCATTTTAGTTTGGTCTCTAATTATCAGTCATTACAGCTTAAATGGAAAAAAATATATTACAGTCTTTTGGACTTTTGGAGTGGAATGTCAAGAGAGACTTGTCTTATAATGCTGCCAGTTCACTATAGCAATATACTGTTAGCTTTTTGAAATTTTATTAAGATGAATATTTCATAGACCTTCAAATAGAATTATAAAGAAGTTAAAAGTTAATAACAATTTTTTAGAAACTTTATAAATGATGTATAGATTTATATGTATTACTTTGAAAAAATATAAACAAAAAATATGACAACAGTTCTTTAAAAGACTCTACTATTTACAAAATAATGGGCAAAATTTTAGATCACTTTGAACCAGACTTAATGTAAAACTACAAGAAAAAATAAACTTATAATAAATATTAATATTATAATAACTAACTTCCTTGCAATAATCCTTATAAAAAAGTTTCAGTAAGAAACAAAAAGCACAAACCTTTCACAACAGTTTTACGCTGAGCACATGCAGCTAAAGTTCTGTACAGGAGAAGCTCAATCTTGCTGTCTGACTTTAACTGTATCTGAAAATAATTAAAATTTGAAAGTTTTTTATTCACTAGCAAAATTTATCTACAAAATCTGGGGCATAGTTTGTATTGAATACATCTAAATTCTACAAAAACAGGACGAAGCCCCCGGAAGCTCCAGGGTTTTCATCCTTTTCAGATGGTCTAAAATTCATTGCCTTGTAGTGCTTTATCAAAGATTTTCATTAACTGATATCAATATATTTACTGATATTTATTTTGATGAAATCATCACCAATGCCAGGGCTTTTTTTCAATTTTGGGGAAATGGCCTGGCCTTTCAGTGGGGAAAAAATGCACGAGAAAATGTCATTTTGGGGAAAATCTATTACATTAAAAAATGAGTAAATAACTTTAAAATAAACAATAACAAGCAACAAACAATGTAGCTATGTGCAATATAAAACATGAATAATGTAGGAGGAATTGCCACAGAGGAAGTGTTCACTATAATTATATTCTGTATAAGGAAAAAAAACAAAGGGCCATAATGAAATAAAAAATTATTCAATCACAAAACCCTGGCAATATACGCCAGGGCACTGGATGACAAAGCTACAGTGAAAGTTTGAACAAAATACGTTGAGAAATGTAGGAGTTCAGCACAGAAATTTTTTTTCACTATATATTCTGTATAAGGACAAATAACAAAGGGCCATAATTAGGTCAAATATTATCCAACCACAAAACCCCGATAATGTGCGCCAGAGCACTTGATAACAAAGCCTCTGTGAAAGTTTGGTCAAAATCTGTTGAGAAATGTAGGAGAAGTTGCGCATGGTAAAAATTGTTCACAAAATAATCTGTATAAGGAAAAAAAACAAAGGGCCATAATTAGGTCAAATATTATCCAATCACAAAACCCCAACAATGTGTGCCAGGGCATTTGATAACAAAGTTCTGTGAAAGTTTGGTCAAAATCTGTTGAGAAATGTAGGAGAAGTTGTGCATGGTAAAAATTGTTCACTATATAATCTGTATAAGGTAAAAAAACAAAGGGCCATAATTAGGTCAAATATTATACAATCACAAAACCCTGACAATATGCCCTAAGGCACTTGATGACAAAGCTTCTGTGAATGTTTGGTCAAAATCCGATGAAAAATGTAGGAGGAGTTGCGCACAGAAGAAATTGTTTACGCCCGCCCGTCCGCCCATCTGCCCGCCCGCCCGCCGACTAACCTCAATCTAATAACTAGTTTTTTCCTTCGGAAAACCTGGTTAAAAACATGCCCTAAAAGTCAGGTGGGTCATAAACTATGAAAACATTTCAGATTTCAGAACCATCAGTTTGGCCTTGACTTCCTTAAACATACAAAACCACTCTATTTAAGTTCAGTTGGAATCACTTGAGTCATTTGTAATATTGCCAAGCTTCAACATTGCTGTAACCTCCCCACACACCTCCCCTATTTATTTCAGAATGATTGCTTTGATTTTTCTATGTAAAAACTGCATTAAGTGCTAAAAAGATTAGATTATGATTCTCAAAGGACATTTTGACACTTAATGTACGAAAATCAATTAACTGTTTTATGTTTTATAATTTATTTACATAAACTAACACATTCCTCTCCAAATTCAAGCCGAAAATCAAACAGCAAATAGGTCGCTAAAACATTGTGATAATAGAATATTTTTCCAATTTTTGGTATTTAAATATAACTCCATGTTTTTCCAGACAATGATTAAAATCTGTAAGAATAAATAAAATAACATATTTTTACAAATTTCTGCATATTTTGAGTAGAATTTTCACAAAGACAGAATGTTTAGAGATATGATCAGCCCATTCTCGGCAACGCTTGGACTTTTTTTCTTGCAGGACAATCAGTAATATCAAACACTGTAGGCCTATAAAAAAACTATTTGAACAAAAATGTTATTTTTTAAACAAGCAAGCCATAACAGAAGAAAATAGTTGATTTTATTTAGGCCAAGGGCAATTTTTTTAGCTCAAGGGGAATCTTTTTTCAACTGGGGAAGTAGCCTTTAAACGGCTACAGTTATATAGCAAAAAAAAACCTGAATGCGGACGGTTGTCTCGTTGATCCGATATTCACATTTACTGTGTTCTCTAACCATTTCAAATTAAACTTATTTTTAACATTTTTGTCAAGTCCTTGATCTTGGAAGCGTTGTTTGAGTTAATTGCTGCCATTATTCATGTAAAAAATATCTTTCTTACTTATCAGCCGTCATTTTGTTTTGCTTTCTTCAACTACAGAAAGACACTATGATTGGTTGGTATAATTAACGCTACCTTCATTGGCTTACTACAATAGGGACAATAACTGAACATACCTGAAAAGCAGTACGGTCTAAATATTTACGGTACAGTCTATACATTTACAATTGGCAGACAATAGGCGGTAGCAAACTCGGCCAAATTTTCTCCTCTGATTAACATTTCCGTGGATCCACTGAAAATTTGCATCCCTGGGAAACTGTTTTCAGGTCTAAGGTAATAGTGACCTTGACCTTTGACCTTATGAACGCAAAATCAATAGCTGCCTTTTCTCAATATGGACAATCATACTATAAAGTTTAAACACAGTGGGCCAAATGAAACTTAAGTTATGTTCCGAAAACTGCTTTTCGTTTTAGTTAATAGTGACCCTGACCTTTGACCTTGTGACCCCAAAATCAATAGGGGTCTTTACCAAATATGGACAATCATCCTATGAAGTTTGAATATTGGGAGCCAAATGGAACTTAGGTTATGCTCAAGAAACTGTTCTCAACTTCTAAGTAATAGTGACCTTGACCTTTGACCCCAAAATCAATAGGGGTCTTTTACCCAATATGGACAATCATCCCATCAAGTTTGAACACTGTGGGCCAAATAAATCTAAGTTATGCTCAAGAAACTGTTTTTAGTTTTAAGGTAATAGAGACTGTGACCTTTGACCTTGTGTCCCAAAAATCAATAGGGGTCTTCTATTTTGGTGCTATAAGAGATTGAAAAGCTTTTAAGTTTGATTTTTAGTTCTAGTATAAGAGGAATCGCAGGACTAGCACCAAAAGATGACTCTCTCTGGACAGCAAGTATAACTTCTACAAAATGTTTCCAGAATCTACCTTATGAAGTTATTTTCACTCATGTAAGCAGAATCCAACATGAAGATGTTTTTCATCCTCCAATGTCAGATGCTTAAATGATTAACACAATAAATTGTATAAGCTCTGTATCAAAACAGTTATATATAATTTATTTCAATGAAATTATATTACATTTTTGAATTTATACAAAAAAAACTTCAAATCTTTTATTTCTCATTAATATTTCAAGTTTTAACAGTCACTTCTGGGGGTATCAGTGGCACCTAAGGTCTGACCTCTACTGTTTGGTATGATGTTAAACCCAAGACAACCAAACAGGACAAATGATATAAAAAATTTCAAAAGTAGGTCAGATAATATCAAAATTCTTTTCTGCATCAGAAATTACACCCCTGGTCCAAATTTCATGTCCATACTTAAAATGACTAGAAACTAGGTCAAACAATATCTTTTTTATCGAAAGTAGGTCAGTTGATACAAAAATTCAATTCGGCATAAATTCATGGTCCAAATTTCAAGTCAGTTTGATGACAATTGAGTAAAAAATTGTTACCACGTGAATGTCAACAAGGTTTCTATGTATTTGGGAGGTGTAACCTAGTTTTGGAAGCCTTATGCTCAGGTGAGCTAAACAGGCACAGTTATGTCTCTTTTGCACTGTATTTCTACCCAATGTAAACTATCTACCTACAAAATTCATGTTCATAATTATCTCTTATAGTTTTAGAGTTATGTCCCGGACAAAGTGTGTTAAAAATGAACAAAAGTTTGGGTCAATAACTCCAAAAATAGGCAAGACGGAAGTATGATTCTTTTACACTGCATGTTTACTTAAAAAGATCCATCTGCCTACAAAGTTTCATGTTCATATCTCTTATAATTTTAGACTTATGTCCCGCACAATGTTCAAAGTGTAACAAGAGCCACCGCCGGGCGGGGGCAACGCTTGACTTTTTACTTTTTCTAATAGCAAACACAGAAAGGTTTTAAAATATCTTAATGTTTCCTTTTTTATAAATTTAGTTGGTCTGTATTGTCACATTAGTTTTGTTTAACTATTTTGTATATATATATATATATATAGAAACACGCAATTCTATCAATAGAAACACGCAATTCTATTAATAGAGACACACAATTCAAGAAATAGAAAGACATAATTCTATCAATAGAAACACGCAATTCTATAAATAGTAACACGCAATTCTTTAAATAGTAACACGTAATTCTAAAAATAGAGACACACAATTCTCTAAATAAAAACACTCAATTATAAAAATAGAGACACGCAATTCTATAAATAGAAACACGCAATTTTAAAAATAGTAACATGCAATTCTAAAATTAGAAACATGAAATTATATAAATAGAAACACGCAGTTCCAAAAATAGTAACACGCAATTCTAAAAATAATTACACGTAATTCTAAAATAAGTAACGCGCAATTTTAAAAATAGAAACAAGCAATTCTAAAAATAGTAACATGCTATTCTCACATGCAAAGTCTAAAGTGAATAGCTTCAGTGTTGTGAATCATTATTCCTGTACTTTAATGATGTTGATCATTATTCCTGTAAAGTTGGTTGAAAATACCCAGGTGCACAAGTACACAAGCTGATCAACACTCCGGTAAAGTTTCATGACTCTAGGTCAAATACTTTTTGAGTTACATGCGACACAAGTTGAAAATTGCAAAATTTTACTAAGTCAAAGGCAATAACTCTGAAATACTACAAATATCCAGACAAAATTCCCATGTGCACAACTACACATGCTAATCAACATTCCTGTAAAGTTTCATGACTCTAGGTCAAATACATTTTGAGTTACGTGCGACACAAAAGAAAACAGACGGACAGAAGGATGGATGGACAGACGGACAAGGGTAAATCTAAATGCCCGCCAGATGTAGCAACAGAGACAGAGATGG